GTTTTCAGGAACGTAATCCCGACATTAAGCGAGGACTTACTGTATACAGTAGTGCACTTAAGTAGTATAAGTTGCTATTAGCGGTTTTGCCTATTCGTGCCCTTTCTTGTAACCTATTTCTCCCTAATGGCAAGGGTTTACTGTACTGTACTGTACTGCATATTACCCTCTATAAATTATTTGTTTGTCATCTGAACATCACCTTAAATATTATTCATTCTTTTGTATTTTTTTAAGGGAGATATTTGAAAAAATGAAGATGATATATGAAAAGGATTTCAAGAATTACCCACTTGCTTATGACTCAGAAAGGAATGCATACAGTGTGGGTGTCATCCCTGCTCTTCAAACTCCTGATTGCCAGAGTACTTATGAGGCGAGTATTTATTAAATATGTAGAAATGTGATTTTGAAATTGCTAGCAATCGGTTTGAGTAAAGATTCTTTGAAGAGAGGTTAAAACATTGAGCTTTCATGCCAGAAGATCACACGGTCTCAATATTTTTCCTTCTCCAATTGTTCAGAAATTTATTACAGTTATAGGCTCTGTACATGCATGATGAATCCAAAATTGCATTTCAGTAAGTTGTGACCTAAACTGCTATATAGTATGTAAATACACAGTAGGTTATGAAGGTGTGCATGCTGGAAAAGTCTTTGGTACAAGGAATACTTAAGTGTCACAATAATGCAGCTCACAGCCTGGGGGACTGAGATGCGTACCAACACTGTGGCGCTATCCTTCCCAACATTTCTGGGGACGTAAATTTTTTTCACATTCTTTATGAATGATTGTGTGTGCATGTAATAGTATGAAAAAAATTATTTACCCGAAAAGGCAAATTGAAAAATAACTCAAGCAGCTCATGGCTTGACTGTGATCCCAACACTGAACCCCCACCTACTTCCACGATCCACACCAAATCTGGGGACATTTTTTTTATTTACACTATGATTTTGACTATCTGCTATTGATTTCTTTTATTTATCTAGTTTTTCACGTTCTGTATGAAATTTTAATCATTATAACAGCAGGATATAAAACATAATGTACAGTAAAAACACCATAATTCTTACCCCCGTGGTGAGTCTGTGTCGAAAGCAGCTGCTTCTCGCCTTGTGGCACATCATTCCTCTCTACCTGCCTCTGATATGAAGCCAGTAATAAGAGCTCCCATCCATCCGCTCGAGTTGGCAATGCAGGTAGGATGCTGTCGGAGCAAACAACCTCGACGATATCCACCCTGCTTTGGATGCCTGGGGACATTAGGGACCATTGCACCACTGGGAGACTGCGTTGGCCTACTTCTGCATTGGCCACACACGACGGACTCATGGTTTTTTTAATGGAGAGGGTGCCCCCGTCCCATTGACTGTTCAACACCTCCTGGTGGAGTGCCCCAGCCTCGGAGATCTTTCGTCGGAAGCATCTCTCCCAGTGCCAGGGGGAAGATGAGTCTTACGATCTGTCTTTGGTGCTGGGGGAGGGAGTGAGTAGCATGGGAGGGGACGTCCTTTCCTTCCTGGAGGAAGCTGGTGTTCTGCACAAGCTTTGAGTTTCATCTATTAACGTTTAAATGTTTTTTACAAAAGTTTTATGCTACTGTTTATTATTTATGTTTCTTACCTTGCAATGCTTGATATTAGTCTTAAGCTTTTATTTTAAATTCAACGACATATTACCCACGCTGTTGCTTTGCAAGGGATGAAATTACCACAAACAATCAATCAAGTGTATCCCTCATATTCAAAATCGCTCATAATTCGTAATGTTTTGCTATTAAAATTGTTTGTGACAGTTCGACTTCTATCATTCATATACCCTTGAGTTTTAATAATATCTAAACTCTGTAATTTTCCATATATGTCCAAAATTTTATGAACACACCCAGGCACAGAGGCTTTGTCATTCTAATTTATCTGTTGTTTGGTTTTTCACCAAAGATTGACCTTGAGGAATCAGATGGCAAGAGGACACAATACAAAATTTCACTAATGGTGAGACATCGTGCCAACCTCCAGGAACTTACGGAGGCACTTAACTGCTCTGCTCGTGAACAGAAGACACTTCCATTAAACATATTTCAGGTTAATATAAGTTACCTAGTTTTTATATATTTTTTCAGGGGTGGATCCAGGGGGGGGTCCTGGGGGTCTGGACCCCCCTTTTCATCAGAAAATTTGAATACTTATTCTTTAACACAGTACTGTACTCAGGCATTTTTGTATAGTAAAATGTAATTACTTGTACTATTGACCTCAGAATATTTCCTAATATCAAGTGAACATGGTTTCAAAATGGCTTCAAAATGCCCATGACATTGGTCAGATTTAAAAAACAAAATCGGTGGGGGGGGGCTTACATTATCCCCAAAAAACCCTCCAGCCGGGTGAGCTTGCTGTGTTCGCCATGTTCCCCCCACACAAAACTGGATCCGCCCTTATTTTTTGTTTTTGCCTAATCTACATGGTTAGATTTTGACAGACCCTACAAATTTGTAAATATTAACAATAATAAATCAGTGGCATCTATGTAGAAAATGGGTTATGATCCATGGTCCCAAAATGGTATACTGAAATTCATTTTAATAAAAAAAATACCTTTTTCAGGTGAAATATGTTGAGTGCAATGAAAACTTAATTATCAGGGATCTAATAATATTTATGCAGTTTGACCAAGGGTAGCTGACAAAAGCAATCAAAAGGTTATTTTGAGTAGGGACCATCATTTCTAATGTGTTCAGATTTTTTCTGTCTCACACTACCGACAGGTGTCTGTGTCATTGTCAGTATCTTCCAATGATGGAAAAAGAAAAAATGCCTATATTATTGTTTTTCGTTTATATAACAAAGCACAAGATAAAAGTTACCCAAAACACTAGCTACTCAATATAAGGACAAGTCCCTGACCTGTTGGTAAAATATTAGGACGTGTGTAGTGAACCTTGTTTGGTTGAGCCATGAGATCCAAAGTAGATTAGGGTAAGGCTTCTGAAATATACACGACAGGAAAAAATGTGTATCAGTCATATGTATTTATGAAAATACATATGGGTATTAATGGAAAATATGTAGTGAGGACAGCCTATACAGTACAGTACAGTAAAACTGATATGTATAACATATTACAAGAAACTTTCAAGATAAATTTTTGATGGAGATGGATGTCACTGGCCCAGTAATGGTATACTGTATATGAATCCTGATATACAGTATATAATTTTAACAATTTGGGTTAATTTAGATATTAACTTTATCTTGTTTGTTTTCTTGAGTATTTTACAGATGGTTGAAGTAATGTTTCGTCATTATCGGGCCATTAAGTATGAATTGGTTGGTCGTCGTAACTTCTACTCAGCAGGAGGAGAGTTTGGAACGCCATATCCAATTGGATGTGGCAAGGAAGGTGTGACTGGTTTTTTTGGGTCGATGAGGCCTGCATCTTGGAAGGATGGATCTCTCTTACTGAATATTGATGGTATGATTGTACGAGTATATACATGTTTGTCTTGTAATGTGCCAGTCTTGTTGATATATAGCACATTTGCTTGAGATTTAGTTTTGTAATTACTGAATATCATGTATTTCTTTATACAGTAGTCAGAAAATATGAAATTATTGATTGATTATAAAATTTCATTAGCTCTAAATCTACTAAATCGCTTAGTTTGCTTGTTATTAAAACATTTTATCTCTATTTTTAGTTGCACACACAGCATTCTATAAAGAACAACCTCTTCTGAACTTTATTCAAGACTTCATGAATTTTAGGGAAGATGATTTTCATAGACCATTAGAGCCATTTAAACGATCAAAACTTTTGCAAGAACTAAGAAATATTAGGGTAAGTGCAGTCTTATGTATATTAGAAGCAAATACGGTGGTCCCTTGGTTAACGAACACAATTCGTTCCAGAGGGTCATTCGTCAACCGAAAATTTCGTTAACCGAATCCATTGTTTCAATGGGATATTGGGTAATTGGTTCCAGCTCACCGAAATGTGCATACAAAGTAAAAAAAAAATGCAGTAAAGTACACTTACTTTGAGGTGTGTATGTAGAAGGTTCCTGGATGATGATGATGGGAATTAGAAGTGGGGGTGGATGAGAAGGGAGAAGAGAAGTAAGTGGGGATGGAGGAGAAATCATCTTTCAGGGACCCATGCTTGATGCAATCATTTCACCAATAAAATTATAAGTTCACTAGGTGTAATTCAAAATTATTTTATTTAAATCAACACTGCACTGCGCTATATATTATCAATGCGTTAACTAAATTTCAGAATGATCAATAATTTCAATGTAAAAATGCAAAAATATTCAAGACACCAACAAAATAGATGTTCACTCCACTGTCAACAAAGCCAAACTGACGCCAAGTGGCTGAGTCAAGCGGCTGATGGGCGCACAAAACACTAGTTCCCTGTACTGCATATATTATCAATATGTTGACTAAATTTTAAAATGACTAATAATTTTAATATAAAAAATGCAAAAATATTAAAGAGCACAACTTTCTTGATATTTACTCCACTGGAAACGAATGTAAACATAGAAGAGATTATTGAATTGGCAGACTAGCCCATCAACTGATGCTCACAACAAAACGTGTTGTTCTTAAGGACTTCGTTAATTGAAGATTTGTTCGTTAACCAAATTAAAGAACCTTATGGGCGGTAATTCGTTAACCAAAATTTCGTTAATCGAACCATTTGTTAACCGAGGGACCACAAAATCTTTATAACTCGGCATTTAATATCTCGGAATTTAAACAGTATAATTCGGCATGTGTATGGTCTTGGAATTTATTATAAAATAATTTGGGAAATGCTGAGTTATCTAAAATTATCAGGGAAAATTTCGGTATTATTGAGCTTCATAATCAGGTGAATAAATTATAGACACCCTGTATATAAAAGACCGTACAAAGCTGGTAGCTTTTCTTTTTGGAATAAAATTTGTAGAGTTAATGAATGTGGTAAGAAGTCATAGAGAACACAGTCCAGCATTTAATGATTTGGAATTACTTGTGCAAGGCTCACTTTCTTATGGAATTAGTTACAACCCAAGAGATTTAGACTCGTGAACCTGAAGCAGTAGAAACTGATGCATTATTCTGTCCAAAAATGCTTTGGATTCATGAGTAAATGTCGGGGTTTGTGTTTCAAGAGGAGAGGTGACAGGACTTTTGTGGGTGATTGTATAATGTTTTAATCATCATCCACATCATCATTAATGTTTTACAACCATTTATTGTGCTTATATAAGTTAGCTGTGATTATCTGTAGGCAACTTAACAAGGTGCATTGTGTCTTCATTCCTCTTTTGTCAGATTAATATCTTTGACATTTCTCACATCCTCTGTTTGTTATTCCTTGTTCTCCTCCCCTCCATATTCAAACTCCTGCATCCCTTGACTCAAATGGTTTCTCCATTCTCTCCACACGCCCAAACCATATAACTCTACCTCTCTGCAAAACCTCACCAATTAAAGTAACTTTTATATTTCAGGTGCAAGTTACACACTCCAATATCCCTCGCACTTACAAGATTATAGATGTTTCAGAACATTCTGCTGAGAAACAAACATTTCCTTTAAAAGATGAGAATACTGGGAACACAGTTTACTGCACCATTGAAAACTACTTCAAGAACCAATATGGAAAAAAAATTAAGTTTCCAAAGTTGAACTGTGTACAAGTGTCTCCTGCTGAAAGGAATGTGTTTATTCCATTTGAGGTATGATTGTAATTGTGGTATATATATATATATATATATATATATACAGTGGGGTATGCTATAACGAATCTAATTGGTTCTAGAACCTTGTTCGTTACAGCATTCGTTCGTTATAGGATTAATCCGTTCCAGGCCCCCAAATACAACCACTTAACACTGAAAAATATAATATAAAATTGTAAAAATTGTAAAAAAGTGCATAAATATGCATATAAACCCCTGAAATAAAGAATATCATTAATATTTGTAATAAAAAAACAATAAATTAGAAAAAAAAAATTTTAAAATAATGTTCGTTGTAGGAGTTTCGTTCGTTATAGCATTCTCAATTTTATAGGTAAAACCGTTCGTTATAGGAATATTCGTAGTAGGATCCGTTCGTTATAGCATACCCCACTGTATATATATATATATATATATATATATATATATATATATATATATATATATATATATATATATATATATATATATATATATATATATATATATATATATATATATATATATATATATATATATATGGAAGTTTTCATTTGTTTAACTTCAGGTATAGACTAGAGGTGCCGCGACCTGTCAAAATACATTTACAGGGTGAAACCAGTCCGGCACATTGGGACCTTAAAATTTTGGGCAGATACAGTACCCTGTACAATAAAGCCTCGAATAACGACAGTAATGTGTCCTCCAATAATGCAGTGTAAGGTAAATCATCGTGTTGTGAATCATTGATTACCTTTAAAATACTGTAAAGTAATAAGAGTGAGATACGTTTCAAAGTCTGACCTTTTCATATCTTTTGCGTGACTTTTTACCCTCTTTTCCCCCCAAACAATAAAGTTAATAAAAAATGCAAACTATATTCTTTAAATAATGCAGATTTATATCGTAATTAGGCCCCTTTAAAAAATTTAATAACTTTATCTAGAGACCAAGGTGGGATTCTCTAAGGATGATCTGAGCATTTGATAAATTCTTGGGTTCAAAGTAATATTAAAACTCAATGCCAGAGGGTCAACCAATGCTGATTTATAAGATGCAATTGTTGATCCTTGAAGGCCTTTAACTCTGAACAGAAAATCTAAAAATTCTAACACCACTGTGTCCGACAATGTGATTGGAGTCGCTAACCTGATAAATTGTTGAAAAAGTTTCAAAGCTTTCTCATATTGCATAGAAGTTTGGGGCCTATGACCTGCTATCACTTGGTTAACGATATTGGAATTACCCAACAATCTATTTAAACATCTTTCGAGAAACTGCAAGCGTGAAGTGCCAAGGATATCTCGAACTGAGGGTGCAGTACCTGTTCTATATATCCCTGTTGCAATTGTAGTGGATGCAGGCACCAGTCCAACAGATCGAGACACCATGGTTGTAGGATCCAATATGGTGCAATTAAGAAGGATCTGAGTTTGTGAACCACTTTGGGCAACATTTTGTGAGGCAAAGAGATCTATTTGTGGAGTCCCAAACCTCCTCACTAAACTCTTGAACTTCTATATCTTTAGGGACCATTCTGTTTCTGTTGATACTGGTGTAGTGGATTCCTCCCCTACAAACGCCGTTTGTCGCTGAGTAGCCGACCTTCTTTGAATTACCCAGCCTGCACCTCCAGCGCCGCCTGACGTAGCGGGGGTCAACTATCAACCCACGCCTACCCCCGCCTTATAAGACCTCACCCCGCCGTGACCACCCTCTTTCTACCTACAGCCACCAACAAGCAACACCACCTCCTCCTCAGCTCCAGCCTGGCGGCTCCCGCTCCCGCCGGCGACCATGGCGTCCCTGAAGCTGCGTGCCCTCCTCTGGGCACCCTCACCAACCAGCTCTCTCTACTCAACGCATGTAACCATGCTGCCTACCTAGCACCAAGCTGCATTGTACATCCAATACAATATGTATACAGAGAGCACATCGTGAGTTTCCTTTCTCCAACCCATCCTGAGAGTGAACCAATATCTCATAACCCTACACTGGCCTTAGACGGGACAACGCATCTGTCCAATTGTTTTGTACTTCCGGTATGTGAGTTGCTTTGAGGTAAAGTGTTTGCGTTACACAAACTTTGAAAAAAATTTCCGATAGGTTTAGAAGAGCCAAGATCTGGTTGAGCCTTGATTGAGACAAAACACTGCCTTTCTGTTGTCCATGGCAAACAGAATCGTCATGTTTTTGAAATTTGGGTTTGCCAACAAAAAGAATAGGACTACTGCTAATTTTTTGTTTGTGTTTGTCCCAAAGGGAGTTGCTCCACTTCCCTTGAAGGAACTCTCCATTTGAGGAATGGTATCCCCATCCTATTTAGGATGTGTCTGTACAAATGAAGCTAGACGTCGCATTCTGGATTGAACAAAAATAACGTCGTCAGTTACCCATCTGAAACTGAAAGAAATAGGACCCTGGTTGTTGCTGTAGTAAAATTAACGTAAAAAAATATGTACCGGTATGTGTAAATTAATATACAGTAGAAGTAACCACCGATGGTAAAGAAAAAAGTGAAACTGATAGCGGAATGTCAACGTATACGTGCGCACTCAAGGAAACGGCGTAATATATCTTAAGAATATGTACAAAAGATTCATTATTGTTTACCCGCATTAATGATTATGTAATTGATTGAATTAATGTTTATATATGCAAAATGAACAATACAATTCATTAATAATACAGGTAGTTCTGCTATAACGCGATAATTGTGTTCTTGTAAAATATCGTGTTATAGAAAATCGCGTAATAGAAATAACAGGGCTTATGGAGAAAATAGGGTTAGGTGCAGATTACTCGAAATCGAAAAAATTTAGTAGTTAGCCTAACACAAAGGATAGCACAGTCTAAATAAATGTTACATTCATATCTAATAATGAAATCATACAGTAAATTTAACACTTTACCTTGAAAAAATATGAATGTAACTTGATGGGGGAGAAGGGTGATTTTGAGGTTGATAACATCAAGCTTCTCTTCAAGTGTTATATCCTTTCTTTTACGATAATCACCGGGAATTCTATCATCAGAATGCTTTTTGGAGATATTCTTCTTTACCATATTCACAGTTAATACCACAAAATTGGAGAAATAGTAAGCAAAAATCGCGTTATAGCAAACAAGCGATCGCGTTATACAAATATTGTTCCGAATTCATAAATCGCGTTAGAGCAAATTCGCGTTATCAAAACACGCGTTATAGCAGAACTCACTGTATGTAGAAAATTAAAATACACAAGAGGAGACGAGACGACATTGTTTTCGTTAGTGTTTACACCCTTGATGATGGTTCTACATATGAAACTGAAAAAAATAAGACCCTAGCTGTAGCTGTAGTAAAATTAATGTAAAAAATGAATATGTATGTTTTAAGTAATGGTATTTAATGTTAATGAATGGAACATTAGAAGTACCTTGTGGGGTATGAGATTGTTTGTGTTCACACTCAGGATGGGGTGGAGAAAGGAAACTCACAATGTGCTCTCTATATACATGTTGTATTGGATGTACAATGCAGCTTGGTGCTGGGAAGGCAGCATGGTTACAAGCGTGATGTAGAGAGAGCTGGTTGGTGAGGGTGCTCACAGGAGGACAGCTTGTGGGTCGCCATGCTCGCCGGCGGGAGCGAGGACCGCCAGGCAGGCGGAAGAGGTGTTGCTGGCTGGTTGGTGTAGGTAGAAAGAGAGAGGTCACAACGAGGTCAGGTCTTAAATAGCGGGGGGTAGGCGTGGCTTAGTAGTTGACCCCCGCTCCGTGATGTATGGCGGCACTGGTTGACCTAGACCACGAGGCACACACTGTGGAATTCGTGGGGTCGGCTATGCAGCGACAAACAGTGTTTGTAGGGGAGAAATCCACTACAATACTCCCCCTTCCCTCCAGGCGGTGTAGGAGACTTGTTGTCTGCAGGGTTGCATAGCACATGTGAGGCAGAACGGGCGGTGCATGCCTCATGTGAGACAACGGCGATGGCGTGGATGAGCGGGTCGCTGGAGACAACTGTCTAGATACACAATATCTGTGGGAGTAGAGAGGGAGAAAAAGGGTGTGTGGAGGCGATGAATGTTGTGCTTCCCTCACGGCAGGTACAGAGTCGTCAGATGCGCCTGCTGGGGTGTGTGGGCCTGGGTCAGGAGCAGGGGCTGCGTCAGCAGAAGCGGATGAGGGCTCGTGACAGCAGCTGGGTCCACGACAGCAGCAGGGTGCAGGACATTAGCAGGGAGTACCTGAGGGAGAAAAGAGGGGTGTGTGGGTCCGCACTCAGGAACAGGGGCCGCGTCAGGAGAAGCGGCAGGGGGTACTGCTGGGCCGGGGTCGGCGTCTGAGGCAGAACGGGTGTGTTGGTCCTCGTCAGGAGCAGGGGCCGCATCAGGGGCGGCAGGGGTTACTGCTGGGCTGGGGTCGGCGTCTGAGGCAGGACGGGTGTGCTGGGGTCGGTAGGATGTGGTGCTTGGGGCAGGAAGAGGCGCTGGTGTCTGATTAGAGAAACAGTGCTGCTCTAGGGTGTCTAACCTGCGGTGTAGAGACAGTAGTTGTAGAACCGATGAGAGCTGCTTCTGTGTGGATAAGCCAGTCTTCCATGTTGCTTGAAGACTGGGAGCGTGATCAGTTTCTCCTCCATCCTGTGTGAGTGCGAATCTCCGGGAGTCACCATTTGTGGGGTTCAAGATGTTTGGTTCACACTCAGGATGGAATGGAGAAAGGAAACTCACAATGTGCTCTCTATATACATGTTGTATTGGATGTACAATGCAGCTTGGTGCTGGGAAGGCAGCATGGTTACAAGCGTGATGTAGAGAGAGCTGGTTGGTGAGGACGCTCAGAGAAGGACAGCTTGTGGGTCGCCATGCTCGCCGGCGGGAGAGAGGACCGCCAGGCAGGCGGAGGGGGAGCGAGGGCCGCCAGGCAGCGGCGGAGGAGAAGGAGGTGTTGCTGGCTGGTTGGTGGAGGTAGAAAGAGGCAGGTCACCACGAGGTCAGGTCTTAAATAGCGGGGGTAGGCGTGGCTTAGTAGTTGATCACCGCTCCATGATGTATGGCGGCACTGGTTGACCTAGACCACGAGGCATACACTGGGGAATTGGTGGGGTCGGCTACTCAGCGACAAACAGTGTTTGTAGGGGAGAAATCCACTACAATACTCCCCCTTCCCTCCAGGCGGTGTAGGAGACTTGTTGTCTGCAGGGTTGCTTAGCACATGTGAGGCAGAACGGGCGGTGCATGCCTCATGTAAGACAACGGCGATGGCGTGGATGAGCCGGTCGCTGGATACAACTGTCTATATACACACTATCTGTGGGAGAAGAGAGGGAGAAAAAGGGTGTGTGGAGGCGATGAATGTTGTGCTTCCCTCACGGCAGGTACAGAGTCGTCAGATGCGCCTGCTGAGGTGTGTGGGCCTGGGTCAGGAGCAGGGGCTGCGTCAGCAGAAGCGGATGAGGGCTCGTGACAGCAGCTGGGTCCACGACAGCAGCAGGGTGCAGGACAATAGCAGGGAGTACCTGAGGGAGAAAAGAGGGGTGTGTGGGTCCGCACTCAGGAACAGAGGCCGCGTCAGGGGCGGCAGGGGTTACTGCTGGGCCGGGGTCGGCGTCTGAGGCAGGACGGGTGTGCTGGGGTCGGTAGGACGTGGTGATTGGGGCAGGAAGAGGAGCTGGTGTCTGCTTAGAGTAGCAGAGCTGCTCTAGGGTGTCTGACCTGCGGTGTAGAGACAGTAGTTGTATAGCCGATGAGAGCTGCTTCTGTTTGGATAAGCCAGTCTTCCATGTTGCTTGAAGACTGGGAGCGTGATCAGTTTCTCCTCCATCCTGTGTGAGTGCGAATCTCCGGGAGTCACCATTTGTGGGGTTCAAGATTGTTTGGTTCACACTCAGGATGGAATGGAGAAAGGAAACTCACAATGTGCTCTCTATATACATGTTGTATTGGATGTACAATGCAGCTTGGTGCCGGGAAGGCAGCATGGTTACAAGCGTGATGTAGAGAGAGCTGGTTGGTGAGGATGCTCAGAGGAGGACCAGCTTGTGGGTCGCCATGCTCTCCGGCGGGAGCGAGGACCGCCAGGCAGGCGGAGGAGGAGTGAGGGCTGCCGGGCAGCGGCAGAGGAGGATGAGGTGTTGCTAGCTGGTTGGTGTAGGTAGAAAGAGAGAGGTCACCACGAGGTCAGGTCTTAAATAGCGGGGGTTAGGCGTGGCTTAGTAGTTGACCCCCGCTCCGTGATGTATGGCGGCACTGGTTGACCTAGACCACGAGGCACACACTGTGGAATTCGTGGGGTCGGCTATGCAGCGACAAACAGCGTTTGTAGGGGAGAAATCCACTACAACCTAACCACTAATTGTAAATACAAAAAAAAAAAAAGCAAGACTGCGCAACGCCAATGTAAGTAAGTACCTACATGTGAAACCATATCATAATTTCTCTACATAAGAATATGAAAGCAACTCTTATTACTGTTAATATAGGTTTTAAATAATACTTACGAATGTAAAACAAAAATTCTACTCACCAATGGTGGTAAAGTCGAAAACATAAGGACAGCCAATGAATGCTGTTGTGTGAGTTTATACTCAGATGACGAACTCGTAAGGTTCAACTCTGGCTGAAGCTGTAGCTTTCCATAAAGATGTCATAGCTGTTGCTGAAACTGTTACTGAACCTGCAGTTCCTGAAGCTGCTGCTAATGCTGAATTTGATGGTGTAGCTGCTTTTTTTTTTTTACGGGAATTAGCCCACCCGGGCACAGGTTAAACGACCCACAACGGAGCCTGGGGGGCGAAAAAAAAAGAACGGAAAGAAATTGTAAATATAGAAAAAAAGGTTATACTGTATTAATCTACACCACGAAGATGCCGGAAAACCAGCTTTTTAAAGTGAGACAGATTGTAAGAGCATGGAAACACAGAAGAAGGCAGAGCATTCCACAGCTTGACTGTGTGAGGAAAGAAGGAGGTACTATAACGGGTTATTCTCGTGTGACCGAGATCCACGGAGAAACGGTGGGCACCGCAAGCAAGACGTGTGTTACGAACCCACGGCCTTGCCGGCGGTACACAGGATGCCAAATCCACTGAACATTGCCCGTTAAAGTACCTGTAAAAGAGAGAGAGTGAAGCAACATTGCGGCGAAGAGAAAGGGAAGAGAGATTGTCGACTAAAGGAGGAGAGTTAATAAGACGAAATGCCTTTGATTCCACCCTATCTAATACTGTAGTTGGACAGAAGAAGAGCCACCCCAGATATGAGAGCAGTACTCCAAGTTAGGACGAATGAATCCCTTATATACTTGGAGCAACTGCTCAGGAGTGAAGTAGCTGCGGCATCTGTACAGCATTCCCAACTTTCGGGAGGCAGCTTTAGTTATACTAAGGATGTGTGATTTCCAGGACATATTGGAGGAAATGGTGAGGCCTAACATATTTATTTCAGAATTTGGGAGGATGATAGCGTCCTGAAATGTAATTGGTGGGAGATCGTCTAATTTACAAAGTGTAATTGGTAAATATTGAGTTTTATTACTATTGAACTTAACCAAGTTTGTATCTCCCCATTCAGAGATGCTGCACAGATCCGCATTGATAGAAGTAATGATATCAGTTCTAGAAACAGATCTAGTTTGAGAGTTAGGAGGAAGGGGAAAATGTGAGAAAGAGTGAAGAGTAGAATCATCGGCGTAAGAATGGATAGAATTAGTTTTAGTGTGAAGTAAATCATTGATAAAAAGAAGGAAGAGAGTTGGTGAAAGAACAGAACCCTGTGGGACGCCACTATTGGTTGAGAAAGAGCGAGAAATCGATCCCTCGACAACAACTGCCATGGATCGGTTCTCAAGGACGCTAGAGATGAGAGAACAAAGTGGGGGAGAGAAACCAAAGGAGGGAAGTTTAGATGGCAAAGACTTGTGCCATACCCTGTCAAATGCTTTGGAGATGTCGAGGGCCACGACAAAAGTTTCCCCATAGTCCCTAAGAGAGGATGACCAAAGATGGGTGCAATAGGAGAGCAGATGGTGTAGCTGAAGTTGATGGTTTAGGCCTTTGAATAATAAAGCCGTTGATAGAACCTTGCATAGCTGCATTTTTTCTCATTATATATCTTTATGTAGGGGTCATATGCGTTTTCACGTCCCTGTTAATTTTAATGCTTCGTTCAGTTAATGGATCCACTTCAGAAAATATGTTCATTGCTTGCTGCATATAATATCTACAGACCTCTCACCTTTTTCATAGCGTTTTAACACATCTTGTTTCTCGGCCAAGCTTATACACTTTCTTTTAGCTTTTGAATCAGCACTACCATCACTTGCTCTCTTGCTTATGCTAAATAGGGAAGCAAAAATGCTGTAAGAAACCCGAGAAAGTTTTTCTCCTTTTCCTGTTCAGATGCACGAAACCAAAAGGCCCGCCAAGCTGTCTGTTTATACTAGTGATGCTGGCATCACCACTCACATGCCCTGCAGCCTCCATGCGCAAGGCATGTTTTTTTTTTTTATAATATACATTGGGATTTAGTTATTATTTATATGAAATTGTAATTTTATTTTATTTTTTATTATATTTTCGTCGTAAATACGAAGGAAATAACGGTGTAGATTGAATTGGGTCCTAAATAAACCAGGGTCTTAAATATGAATCGTCGTTAGTAGAAGCGTCGTTTTCGGAGGCTTTCCTGTATACCGTAGGCATACCCCGGGCTACAGAAGGGTTCCGTTCCTAAGGAAATCTTTCTGCAACGCGAAACCATTTTTTCCATATACAGGGGTCCTCAACTTACGAACGTCTGACTTACGAAAGCCCGCTGATACGAATGGGGTTAAACTTGAAACTTACAGTATTTTATTTACCTGATGACTTATTTTTTACTTTCATTTATTGTATTTTGTCATTCTATTTCTTCTTTTCTCTTAAATTAAGTGATTTTAGATGTATATAAAGACTTAGGCTATGATATAGTGGGATTTTAAACATTGCTCTGTAAGTACGGTATGCACATAGCATGTGTTCCGTCTTACGTACATTTCCGACTTAAGAACTTCCTCAGGAATGGAACCTGTTCGTAACCCGGGGACCCCCTGTACTGCACTGTACTTCACTGCAACTGAGTGTTATGACAAACCAATAGTCATGCTTTGGAACAATGCCAAACTTTTGGTTGTTTGAATATTAATTACAAAAACAACTATGAAAAATATTAAGATAGGCATATTCAAACTTAAACTTATGTTGAGAATTTCCAGGAAATGAGTTGTTAATATTATTTTGGGGATTCAGCTTGAGGAACCTTATGTTACATACCTGGTAATTTTGAAAAGTAAAAAATTCTCATGAATATTCTTTTACAGTGCTGCAAGATTTACAAAGGTCAAAGAGTGGTTAAGAAGCTTAGTGATCGAGAAACTGCTCAATTTATTAGGACAACAGCTGTTCCACCAGCAACAAGAAAGAAACAGATATGCAATATTCATCGCACCAATGACTTTACTCAAGATCCAATGCTGAAGAATCTGCAGTTCAGTATAGCAGAAAGAGTATGACCTCTCCCGTTTCTTTTATATGCAGTAATCACCATTTTATATATGAACATACAGTATACTTTTCCATTGACCCATTAGGCTTTGAGCCATTTTATATATATATATGTACTGTATATATATATATATATATATATATATATATATATATATATATATATATATATATATATATATATATATATATATATATATATATGCGTATATATATATATATATATATATGTACTGTATATATATATATATATATATATATTTCATTAGCCCAATAAACACGCGGACTTCTACATACAATCAACACCTCAACCCGCCAGGACTCGAACCCAAGGCTCACGAGCCTTTGACTGTGACCGGGGAATGCTAACCGCTGGACCACCAGGATACTAAAAGCAGTCCTAGACTCTGTTATATTTCACACAAAGCCTGTTCAACGAGCTTATGGCGCCTTGAACCTCTAATGGGGACTACCCGTATCACGTAGGTGGTCAGAGTTAAGTTTTACCAAATCCGGCTTTGAAACACGAGGAACAGGCTTTGTATTATATATATATATATATATATATATATATATATATATATATATATATATATATATATATATATATATATATATATATACAGTTAACCCTCACTTTACGCGGTTAATGTAACCCGGAGGGTACCGCGGAAAGCGAGAAATGCGTAAAGTGAATAACATAACATATGGGATTAATTGAAATGGAGTCCAGGCCGATCCCCAAACTCCACTTTTTGACGACACATAACTATGTTGTAGTAAAAATAACATCTTAATTTTATGATGGTACATGCACACAATTAATACTTAAGAGAAATAGAGAAATACAGTCGCCAAGTTAATGTCCATTCAAATAATGGACTCAACTCCCTCCCCCTCTCACACTACACTGCCGGCTCTTCCCCCTCTGAGAAATTTTGGGGGGAAAACCAGGCATAGTAATAAATAATACCTCAAACTAAAGTTAGGATAATATAATTGACATTGCTGGATTCCTTGTAAGACCAGGAATATTTTGAATATAAATGTCATATATTTTTCACAAAAGATAACATACTTACTCAGATTAAACATTTTATCTAAAAATTTGATGTCTAATGCAAAATATATGATGTTTATATTCAAAATGATCACCAAATTGTAAGAATTCCAGCAATGGAAATTATATTCTGGCCGGGTAATTTGTATGAATTTTATGAGCTAAAACAAATATCTTCAGTTAATAAAAAAAAAAAAAATATTCTTCACGACACTATCTGTCAATCAAAGTACCCCACCTTGCCTCCCCCCCTCTTCCAACCACGCGGTCAGTCCCGTCCCAACCCTCCCCCCCACCCCCCACCAATCCTCCCTTCAAGAGAAAGGTTGGGTGAAAAATTTAGATTTTAACATTTTGTATTAAATAATACCTCAGATTAAAGTTAGGATAATATAATTGACATTGCTGGATTCCTTGTAAGACCAGGAATATTTTTAATATAAACGTCATATATTTTGCACAAAAGATAACATACTCAGATTAAACATTTTATCTAAAAATTTTATGTCTAATGCAAAATATATGATGTTTATATTCAAAATGATCACCAAATTGTAAGAATTCCAGCAATGTAAATTATATTCTGGCCGGGTAATTTGTATGAATTTTATGAGCTAAAATAAAAATCTTCAGTTAATAAAAAAATAAAAATATTCTTCACAGGGTAACAGATGGTCGGTCGCCAGTCCCTCCCTCCCTCCCCCCCACCCCCCACCAACGTCCCTACTAGATAAATGTGTGGGAATACCAGACTGTTTACCTTTTTAGTAATAAATAATAAATCAGACTAAAGTTAGGATAATATAATTGACATTGCTGGATTCCTTGTAAGACCAGGAATATTTTGAATATAAATGTCATATATTTTGCACAAAAGATAACATATTTACTCAGACTAAACATTATATCTAAAAATTTTATGTCTAATGCAAAATATATGATGTTTATATTCAAAATGATCATCAAATTGTAAGAATTTCAGCAATGTAAATTATATTCTGGCCGGATAATTTGTATGAATTTTATGAGCTAAATAAAAAAATTATACGTCACCCGTGTAAAGCGTGTAAAGGGGTACACCCACCAAGGAATGTGAGCATCCTGGGTTCTGGCAGGGCAATCACAGAACGTGAAACGCTGAATGTGGGAGCCAAGAAGTGAGGGTTGATTTGTGACATATATATATATATATATATATATATATATATATATATATATATATATATATATATATATATATATATATATATACATACATGATATATACAAGTATTCTCAAGAATCTAACCCAACTGGCTCAGAAGGTCAAGCCATAATCCCAAACCATTGTTTCAATGGGGTTTTTGGGCACTGGTTCCAGTCAATGAAAATTTCTAAATTCAACAAAAAATGGTAGAAAAATTCACTTACTTTGGAGGTGTGTATGTAGAAGGCTCTGGATGATGATGGATGGGATTTTAGAATGGGGTGGAGGAGAAGGGAGAAGAGAAGGCATTGGGGTGGAAGAGAAGTCACCCCATGGCGCCATTTCACCCATAAAATTTTAGCTCTCTTGGTGTAATTCAAGATTATTTTCTTTTAATCAACACTGCACTGCATTATATATTGTCAATATGTAAAAAATATTTCAAAATGACCAATAATTTGCTTGGAAACACAGAAAAAAAGCGTTTAGTTGAAGAGAGTCTCAAGCAAGATGTTACCTCCAGTGAAAACAGAGAGAGACTAACTCCTGTTTGCTGTGTAAAGAAGCTGGATGCCGTGCATTAAACTAGTCACTTTACCTTCAATTATGTTCAATAATTGTTAAAATGACTTAAGAAATTGAATATTAAACTTTTAAAATTATTGAATAGTATAAACTTCTTGATATTTACTAAAATAGTTAGGAATTTAAGCCCTAGAACCGATTAATGTATTGGTGGACTGATACTAAAGCTGGTTGCCCGGCCAGTGCAAGCGAAAACATGTTGAGGTCGGTTCGTAAGAAATTCGTTAACCGAATTTTTGTTCGTTAACCGAATTGAAGATCCTTATGGAAGGCAGTTCGGGTTAATCATATATATATATATATATATATATATATATATATATATATATATATATATATATATATATATATTATATATATATATATATATATATATATATATATATATATATATATATATATATATATATATTATATAATATATATATATATATATATATATATGATAACCACAAGGAAAGAAGAAAATATATATATATATATATATATATATATATATATATATATATATATATATATATATATATATATATATATATATATATATATATATATACGTATATATATATATTATATATATATATATTATATATATACTGTATATATATATATATATATATATATATATATATATATATATATATATATATATACTGTATATATATATATATATATATATATATATATATATATATATATATATATATATATATATATATATATATATATATATATATATATATATATATATATATATATATTATATATATATATATATATATATATATATATATATATATATATATATATATATATATATATATATATATATAGAGGAGTCTTAAGTTATTCTCTTATAAATGTCAATGAATGTGACTTTATAGTAATGCATACAAGCACCTCATGAGGCATCACACAAGAAGCTTTGAATTTCTGTACATGTAAAGTATTTCATGGGGCAAAGGGAGGCTCAAGAACGTAACTCCCATATTTTATCTATTTCTTATAGGGAAAATTGGTCCGCTTAACGTTGTTTTGTATATCGTCGCGTTTTTAGGAACGTAACCCCAACGTTAAGCAAGGACTTACTGTAACTATTTTTCTATAACCATTTTAAACTTTCTGATCACACATGCCATTTTTCATAATTGCAAAGGCAACTCAGTAGGGCGTGTTTGTATCCCCCAGGAGGTCAGGGATGTACGGTATGTTTGTGTGCATACCCCAGGAGGTCAGGGCTGTAAGGCATGTGTGTCCTCCAGGAAATCATGGCTGTAGGGCTTGTGTATGTGTACCCCAGGAGGTCAGGGCTGTAAGGCATGTGTAACCCCCATGAAGTCAGGGCTGTAGGGCTTGCGTGTGTGTGTCCCCCGGGAGGTCAGGGCTGTAGGGCATGTGTGTGTCCCCCAGGAGGTCAGGGCTGTAGGGCATGTTTGTGTCCCCCAGGAGGTCAGGGCTGTAGGGTATGTGTGTGTCCCCCAGGAGGTCAGGGCTGTAGGGCAAGTGTGTGTTCCCCAGGAGGGGGACTCTGTGATGTGTACTTTTACTTTTATCCTCTTCACCACTGATCGGCTTGCTTGCTGCTTGGGCGATCGGTTACATCTCTGTTAAAAATAAAATAATAAAATAAGAATGATAGCAATAATAATAATAACAACACTAATACTACTACTAATAATATACACCCATAAAAAATCCAAAAATGAAAAAAAAAGATCAAAAGTGAGAAACAATATACTGTATGTATGTTGTGTTGTCAATAGTAAGAGAAACAATTGAGACCCTGCAATTGTGTGTAAATGAGGCAGAAAGTCAGATCAGCAACCTGGGACTTGGTCACAATTTTTGTGATGCCATATGGCAGCAGGGTCTACCATTAGACATTACATTATGCTTCCAATATCATCCCAAGTGGTAGTACTTCCCTGTTTGGTAGCTACCTACTAAAGTCAAATTATTGATGTAATATGCAGTTAAAAAGTATAACAACATATGATAGTGTAATAATGTTCCTGGTATTTATTGTCAGTAAAGCCTACCAATCTTTTAACAATGATTTCTTATGGTACAGTAAAATTAACAGTGGGCTTTCCGGACCATTGGATGCTGGACTATTGGACCTTTACTGTATATATTAAATTTTTTTCATATTTCTTTGAATCAGCCATTACACATGGAAGGCAGAATTTTACCTGCACCTGAATTGTTGATGGATGCACCAGTTCAACCAAGAGAAGGAGTATGGGATGCTAGGAGGAGA